GAGTTGCTTTAGGAAAAAATGATAAAAATGTGCATGTCGGGTGTCTGGGAAATGATTCATGGAATGAAACCAGACTTTCTGTACAAAGGACCCAGGTGACATTTTGTGAAGTGACTGTCAGCTTCAGATGTGGAACATCTACAAAGTAGATGACTACTTTAGACACGTCCTTTGATAGGAAAATACTATTGGATTGGCTCCTAGATAATTCCTTAAAATATAACGTAAGTGCTTAATATCATGAGTAGGAGGGACTTATGCTTCTTCCTATTCTACTGTAATTTAAAGTTGTTTTGCTTCTCACCTGCCACCCCATTTCTTTAAATGACTTACTACCCTTCTTTTTGCTATGAGGAGAAAAGTTATGCAGCAGAATGCAGAAATGAGTGTTTCATGATTTTCATTCTGTTAGCAGCTTGTCTCCTTATTCAGCCCACCCTGATAGTGTAGTAAGAAGTGGATATTTTTTTTCTGAGAGACTTAACCTTAACTGCCTTAAGGTTACCATCTGATTGCTGTTAACTGGTTGCTGGAGTGTTCCTACAACTCTAGAAGAAATCTTCTAGTTAGTGGCTTGAGTTGAATGGTCAGCTTAATCACGAAGTCTAAAGCAACAACTCGGGATCATTTCAGAATTCCAAAGGTGAGAGCCATTACCTGTTTGTTCGACGAGGTCAGAAGCTGCTAACAGAAAATTACCAGGTCAGAAATTTCTCACTCTTGAAAGACAAAATACATATTGAACAGAAAAGATAATAAAAAGCAGCCAGTTGAAGGTGCTTGGGGTTTTAGACTAAACAAAGGAAAGCACAAGTAAGTGGATTGAAGCATATCATTAATTTTTATACAAACCTAACCATATTTAATTAATTAGCTTGTGCTGAAACAAATATGAGTTCTTAGGCCAAGGGTTTTCTCAGTTAGGGGTACCTATATACCCCAGGGTACATGGAGGCCTTGCGAGGGGAAATCAACTAAACTAGACATTACCCTAATACTATAATAGGTTACGTAAAAAGCATAATGAAGTCAGTATGGACTAAAATTTCATACATACGGTGAGTTGTTTATGCTGCTCTAGCTACCATATATTTTAAAGAGTCTCTTTGTTTAAGAACTCTTAAACATTAAGAGGTAGGATCACCAAATGTGCTATATAGTTTACTTTACTGTAAGCTATGATAAGAGTAAAGGTTTGGTTATGACAGGATTACTTGTTCTGTTGCCTCCCTCTGGGGCATCTGGTATTGGCCACAGTCAGCAGACAAAATACTGGGCTAGATGGAACTTTGATCTGACCCAATATGGCTGGTCTTATGTTCTTAGGACAATGGGATGTTCCTGGAATGGGATAGCTTCTCATGAAATCATACAGAAAAGAGACAGTCACCAGGCAAGTGAAAGGGGCTGGCTAAAGGCATTTGTCCCCCTCGTTCACCTTCCCAGGCACCTTTTTTGGAGGAGGTGCTGAATGCTCCTCCCCTTCCCCCGATTGATAGAGACATTTCAGTCTGTTCCCCTTCATCAGGAAGCAAGGGGAAAGTGTACAGTTTGTGCCATTCCTCACTCTGGCTGGGAAGCACAAGGGGTAAGACAAACCTGGACCTGCCCCAGCTAGGCAACATGCACCCATCACCCAGCTGTGACAGCTGATGATGTAGCAGCCATGGGAAGGTGCTTCTCTCCTGGTTCCAAGTTGCTGTTAGTCAGTTTTCTCCCAGGGAAGCCTGCATACTGAACCCTTCATCTCCAGCCCCAACCCAAAGCAACAATTCAATTGAAGCATGTACATTTTAATTGCATTTTCCAAAAATAAAAACTGAGTGAAGCACGTGAGTAACTCTGGGTAAATCTTATAGTATACACTGAAATGTAAGTATAATATTTGTATTCAAACTGTCTCTTTTGTAATTAATGGTAAAAGTGAGGAATTCATTGTGTTCTCTGTAATAGGGTGCTATGGCACTTAAAAACAAAGATACGAGTAATTTTCAGTTGTGATGAAATTTGGGGTATGCAAGACAAATCAACCCCCTGAAAGGCCTACAGTAGTCTGGAAAGAGAGAGA